AATGGTACTACGTATGAATAGGATTACCATACGAATTTCCATACGATAGTCGAATACATTCATGTAAAAGAAAAAAAGCTTCTTTTTGCATGATTTTTAAAGCTCTTACATCTCTATTAACGTAATTTCCAACATCAACCTTTGTTTGGAGACTTAAATATGACTATCGAGAGTTTTGTACGTACATTATAGTTGAGTAAAACTGAAATGAGCAAATGTTGATGGAGTTTTAAGGTTGGAAGCAGAAGCTCACAAATAAAAGGAATATTTTTCAGATTTAGATCGAATAAATCAAAAGAGGTTGATTATTTGTTTTTGAATTATGATCCATGCAAAAGACCTACAAGAAGCAAGGAGTGAACGCGAGAAAGTCCAAAGGAAGGAAACAAAAATAACTGCTCTCTTTTTACCTTATCAATCTTCTTCTGGATGATTGATCGAGTTAATAGCATTATCTCTTTCACAACTAAAAACATGTTTTTGAAGTTTTGTTTATATCAAAATAGTTTCAGCATTCTTTACAGCCGTGGTTAGAAAAACCTATCTTTGATTCTAATCAATTACATTGCACATGCTCCATGTATGAAGGAAACATTGGAACGCAAGTGATGAGGCAAAAAATATATGGTTGCTGGACCCTCATCCCTCTTTTACGGTGCTTTAATTGTCGGGTTCTGCAAGTTTATTATGGCAATAAAGAATAGGTGAAGATGAGAAATGGGGAAAACATTCTACGCATGGCTTCCTACTTTATGGTAAGGCACAGTAATATAATTAATGATGGTTCATATCCTTTCCAGTTGTTAATGAACAGAGAAAAATTATAATTTCGATTTTTACCTATTTTTAATTGACAGAAAATTCTACAGCCTAATATTAAGCCGAGACTTCCCGTAATTTTTTTCCTTTTTTTTCAACCTTGTATTCTCCGCTGAGTGATGAATATGCTTTCAAAGCCTTTTCCTGCTCCACAGAAGTTCATTCATCGCTAACAGATTATTTGAAAATGTTTCTATTTTCAGGTTGAGAAGTGCAAATTCAATTATTTACAAAACAGCAAATTCGACAAATGTTATTGTCAATTCTTAATTGAAACCAAAATATTAGTCCAAGATGCACAT